CTTTCATTGCTATTTTAATCAGCAGATTTGAAAACTTGATGCTTGTATTGAAGGTTGGCCTTGAAAAGTTCTTGCTTCATTTCACTGGCTCATTGCTTCAAGTGGAGCTGAATTTTGCGTGTAGTTGCACTTGTATGTCTGACTTCTACCACCCCCGCGCGGCCCAAAAAAAAAAGAGGTGGTGTAACTTGTATCTCCAAGTATATGTGCCTAGTAGGTTGGATAGAGTCGAACAGGACATATTTGACAGTCTTGTAGACGCTGCAAGTTATGCACCATCTTATGTGCCTCTACTACAACATGATGGTATTTGTTGTATTCTGTTGTATAGGTGCTTAACACTGTAGAACTGAGATTCTTGCTTCTAAGCATCGAATGATAGCCAGGTTTATGGATGTGCGTTGTGCATATGGAGAACAGCAGTTTGTTTGTAATATGTGTGACATGAAGAATGCTAAGCTCTTTTAACTGTGAGCTTTCCGCGTATTAATGCAAGATGACGATCATCAAGAATGAAAACCAGTTTATAACTGAAGGAAAATGCATAAGAATGAGCTTTGGGGAACTGTTGGATGTAATTCTACTTGGCCAAAAATGCTTGGCGGACGCAGGAACGGATTATGCACCGCATAAACCGGTTAGATGAGTATGCCAGTAGGGATCCCTTTTCTGCGGTACATAATTTACAGTAATACTTCTCCTATAACTACAAAGAGTACAAGAGCAAAGAAAACTTTTCACCTCCCTGCTTTTCTTGGCTGTACTGCTTATTACAAGTGGCAATAACGTTTTCTTATTGAACTTTTTCTCGAAAAAATAGTGTTTAATTTATACCTTATTCACGTGCACTGATTTACTTATATCGTTAATATATATTTTTTTTATCTAAAATACATTACATAAAAAATTTTACAGTATATTTTAAAAAAGTTATTTTAGATACTCCCTCCATCCCACTTTGATAGTCATGTATTCCTTTTTCATTTGTCCCAAATTGTAGTCCACTTTCCAATTGAAGAATGTAGTTGTATTTTAATTTTCCTAAAATATCCTTATTCAATGTAAGTAGTTGTTACTATAAATCTACCTCATTAATGAGAGTTGATCCTTTTTTTACCATCAATTCAAGTTCCCATAAAATTGTACCATATTTAATATGAGGGTATTTTAGAAAAATAGCAATCTAAATTTATTTTTCTAATAAAATTAACTATTTTTTTTTTAAACTGTGTGAAAAAAGAAAAGGACTATCAAAGTTGTGGACGGAGGGAGTAATTTTCTATCCAGACGCGGCAAGTCGTTTCCAAAAAAAGATGTCGCACGTTCAACAATTTTGGGATTGCAAAAACGATGTCGCACGGTCTGCAATTATGAGGACCATCAAACGACGTAGTAATAGACGACGCAGAGAAGAATATCAAATTGCGCGCTTTTAACGAAGGTAAATTTCCCATTTTATGAAACCCTCGGACCTTCTTCCAGTCCTCCAACAGCAACAATGGCGATCGCAGCTCTGCAGAGACTCGCTTCTCAGGTCTCCAAAAGCCCCTCCATATCCTTTGCTCCAGAGCCATAATCAACCGCTCTTCCGCCTCCCTTTCCTCATCCCCTCAGCTAAGGTTGCGGATCGCATCGTCAAGCTTTCCGTAGTCGATCCGGACGGCATTAAGCGAGAAGTAGTCGGTCTCTCGGGTCAAACTCTCCTAAAAGCTTTGGCTAACACGGCTTAATCGACCCGGCTTCCCACCGGCTTGAGGAGATTGACGCTTGCTCGGCTGAGTGCGAGGTCCACATCGCTCAGGAGTGGCTCGAGAAGCTGCCGCCTCCTACTTATGACGAGCAGTATGTGCTGAAGAGGAATTCTCGGGTTAGGGTTTTGAACAAACACTCTCGGCTTGGATGTCAGGTGGTTCTCACCCTGAGCTTCAGGGGATGGTCGTTGCTGTGCCGGAGCCCAAGCCATGGGATATTCCGTAAAGGTCTCTTGGTACATTGACAAATGGAAGGCATTTTCTGTAAGGTTGATTCACGAAATGAAAACTTAATGCTTCTTTTTTCTTTGTGGAAATAATGTGTATGCATATTGGGGGACACTTAAAAGCTGAGATTTTGGTGGAATGTTTTGGACTGATTTGGCAAATTTGGGTAAAAGTTTTCTCCAATTTGATGTATGGAGAATTACTTCAAGTTATGTTTATCGAACGCTTAGTCCTGACAATTGGCTTGTTCATTCTGAAGTTTTCTTCTTTCACTTCCAGTATTCAGTGGCTCTTAGTTTACTTTTTCTTTACTGTTGCATCACAGACTCACAGTTGTATGTCTTCCTATGTTATCTAGAATCTTTTAGAGATTTGCATCTGGCCCGCATTTTCCACTGTTGACGTTAAATGAAAGGAGAGTTTGCCATAGAAGATAAAGTAGTGAAGCTGTCGAGTTTGTGTAGTTTGCTCTGCTTCTGAGAGTTTTGATGCCTATGTGCTCTGGGCTAGTGATTGACGAGTTTCAGTCAGCTTTTTGTTGCACTGATTACAGTAGCCAGTTGAATGTGAAAAGGGAGATTTTTTTTTTTTTTTTTAGAGTTCACCATTATAATTGCAGGTTACCTTCTTTGGAATTCATTCTATGTATAAGTTTCTTTTTTTCTTTTCTTCCTGATTTTTGGTTGTAGAGGCTCTTCTTCTCTTCTATCTGGGTTTAGTTGTTAGGTGCGTTGATTGTTGGTAAAAGAAAGGAGTGGGGGAAGAGGAGATCAAAGTATGCCATCTCTATTTGCTTGCCAAAGGAAGTTCTATAACAATCTGAGAATCTTATCTTTCACTAGGTATTCATTTGTAATCTGGGTTCTCATGACACATTTTTCTTAGTATTCCTATTTAAGGCTACTGCAACGGTACAATGAGATGTCTATACTGGTTAAATCACCTGGCACCCAATGTATCATCCATTTTTAACTTGATGGAGTAGGGTTTGGTTTAAAGACAATTGATGAACCTTTTTCCTCAATGTGTTATTACAGTGAACCAGTAAGGAACTTGGGTAGCGGGTCACAAGAATGCGGGTTTTCAGCTAAATTTGCTGTATGTTATGCTGCATATGCCTTTGGAAGAAGTTTATGTGTTAAATAGCTCTTTTCTCTCTCTCTCTGTCTCTCTCGCTCTAGCACTACTTTTTCCCTGGATGGATTTGTATGCACTCTTGATTGTGGTTAAAGATACTATTTGTTTTATTTTCTTAAAAAATGTTTGTAACAAGTATGGTGGAGGCAATTTATCCTTATAATTGGTTTAGGGAGAATTTTGAAGATACTTCTCTGCATTGTATTTGACTATTGTTTGTGGTATGGATGGCTTGTCATGAAATTGCATTAAAGTTTTCGAAATTCTCTTCCTCTACTGCTTCCACCCTCTTCTCTGTCTCTTTTGTCTTCTATTTAAGTAGCTTTACCCTGAATATTAGTAGGCTAATCGATGAGTGGGCATATATTTGCTGTGTTTAAAGCTGCAAGTTACATTGTTGCATATGTTGTATATGAGTACTAGCTGCCATTTGAGATTGAGTTAGGCTTTCCGTTTAGCAGATGTGTTTAGTTTGTGAGCTTTCCTGATCTTAAAGATAGTCTCATCCACCTCATCCGATGGAATGTGGTCTTTTTAGCGCTACTAATTCTTTTATTTCATTTTCCTTTTTATTTGTCTCTTTATACATATTTTGCTCCTCTCCTTTGCCCTTGGTGACTATTTCTCCTTGAGCAGTGGTTTTTTTGAGCAGCTCTTCAAAGATGTCCTTGACATTGTGATTTGCGAATTGTCTCTTGTAAACAAGAAGCAGAGCTTCTGCGGTTATCCAACTATCCAGACCGAATGTTCACGCTAGCATAGAAATTAAAGATGACGGGTGGTTGAAGGCTAATGTATGGATATTAGATAGGTTCACACTAGCAGAGATAGGTTTAATATTAAGTCCCGCTTGAACCTCATCTATTGAAGGCTAATGCAGTTGCCAACTTTCAACTCGCAAGAGAGAGCATATGTTCGGGGTGTTCCTGCTTCCCGTTCGTTTTGTTTCGACTTGAGTACTTTCTGGGTCGAATGAAATAGTAAACTTTGGATGATGGTATGGCCAACCGCAGTGCTGTGCCTTTAAAAAATAACAAAAAAAGATGTCAATAGTGAAAATGGTAATTTGTGAACATCCCTTCCAGCTCGATTCTTAATTTCCAGTTAGGAGGAGATTAACTACAAAGCTATTAACCTCCCAGTTGGTTGCTACTCTTGAATGGCAATGGCAATCATCATGGAAAGTTCCTCATTGGAATGGGTTTAAACCATTTCTTTCAAGCGTTTGATTTGGGGAAGCAAATGGGAATCATTGTAAAGATTTTTGTTTGGTACGCACAGACTCATCAATAAGAATGGAAGACAAATTCCAATAGTATTTTTCCTTAGCACAGAAATAAAGAGACGCTGATCTCATTAATAATCACCATACCGTATTATATTGAAGATGTCTATTTTGTTCAAAAGACTTCTCGGATAGAGCCATAGTTGTGTGCTAATAAACATGGAAAAATAGACGGAAGCCATTAAAGTTCATCTCAAACTTTAAATTTATTTTTGTTTCAAATAATAGAGAAACCATATTAAACTGCTCGTGTGTGTTGAGAAAGTCAAAGCACTTTTTATCACATTCTAATATAGTTCATCTTTTAATTATATGCATGTTATTTTTAAATTTTAAATTCAATTTTTAAATTTATGGTGGTAAGATTAAAATGAGAAGTGCAAATATCACAATTAAATTATTATTTAAAAAATTGAATTGGCAGAAAGATGACAAGTGATTGGAACGAAAAGAATGGCTTGGAAGCAATAATTGTCCAAAAATGAAGGCCCAAAGCATGCTAGCGCCTTCCAATTTAATCCCAACAAAAATGGGTCGAACTAAAAAAGCCCATCTGAAACGTAGAGCCCTAATGTCCGCCGTTGTTCTTCGGTTGTTAAATGTATTCCCCCTGTATTCGATGGTGGGGCTCCTTCCTCTATATATCCTTTCGCCGGAACCAAGTTTTGAACCGCTGGAGCGGCATCAGGCGTAAGCTATGTTTCTCTTTTCTCTGATAAGTAGTCATCTCCCCTTCCCTTGTTTGTTAATTCTTTATTATGCGTTTAGCTTTCTGGAAAAATACCATTCCTAGTGTTTGCCTGGTCTTAGCGAGGGAAAAAGACGAAAAAAAAAAAAGAGTTTTTATTTTCTTTTCTCTATTTTGTCATTTGAAAAAAAAAACCATCAAAACAAAGGAAGCAAGTCAGCTTCTTGGCTGGATCCGATTGCTAAAAAGCGGGCCAGGCAATTAATTTCAAAAAATCTTGCGATAAGAAAGTCGCCAGTATCACTCGCCTGGATCTGATGCTTAGCTGATTTTTCAGGCCCTTTTTCTACTGGTACATGCTGCTGCTTTACTTTTACTCTCTTTTTTTTCCCGTTTTTCTTTTGCTTGGTAATACTTTCTAAGGAGGAATTGGAATTGGGAGTTTTTGGTCTTTTTCTTCTTTTTTCTGGGAAAAGGTTGGGGGCGCTTAAGCTTGTAGGATAGGTAGTTTGTTCGGCAAGCGCACTCTGTCCCAAAACTGTATGCAAGTGTTTTGTGGCAATTTCTTCGTTTGCCAAATTAAAAAAAAGGCGGAACTCTTATTTGAGCTCTGTGATTCCAATTAGCTCGTCCATTAGATCTTTTCTTCAAATAGATCCTATGATCTCAATGGACACATGGTTGGATTACATTTATCCATTCTTTTCCTTAATCATCATTTGTTTCGCTGTTTGATCATTCATTCTGAGATGAGCCAAATAGTTATTGCGATTGGATTCCTTCAAGATGGGAATTTTGCTGCTCTGCTTAACAAACAACTTAAAGCTAACTTGATGGCAAATGTTTCCCACTTCCCACAATCCCAAAAAGAGAAGGTCGGTCGAAAATGGGAACTTTTAATTGCTCGGTGATGAATCAAACGCGAAGAAGTCATGCCGCCCGCAATGGACTGAATATGAACACTATCGAATCCGTATTATACATACACTGTACTCCACCGCGTACTCCATTATTACAAAGCGCGGTTGTGCTGACTCAGCACAGGGCACCAAAATATTTATTTTTTTGAAAAAACTTTAAAATAGACCAGGCATCATGTTGGGTGGGTTAACAGATTTTTTTTTTGATAATTTTAAAAAATGGCCATTGGGTACTCTTCGCTGATCAACGGCTAGATCATCAATTAGTGCCCTGTAAAGCTCATTTCTCAGAACTTTCCTATCTCTCTCTAAGCTTGCTCTTTTTCTCCTCTCTCTCTCTCACAGAGCTTCTTCGCTGCACCGTACGGGACGCTCTTTCTCCTTTCGACTCTCTCCCCTCTACCAAAAAGGAACTCTCATTCACATTCACATTCAGTAAGGTCAGCTAGAAAGGGAATCCGTCTGCTCCTCTCGCGTCACCACAAAACACCCCGTCATATTTTCGAGTGTCAGGCACCACAAGGCAAACAAATCTTGAGGCAAGTGGAATACTTGTTTAATTATTATTTGTATGTACTTTATTGATTGCCTTATTTAATTTTATGTAGTTGGTTTTAAACAGAGAATGTATTCTTTGTTATTGTATGGTAAATTTTGTAATATTGTTTTATGTTATGTTGTTCTAGTCCAACCATGTAAATTAACAGTTAATAAATTTAAAATAATATGGTTCATAACAATAAAATAATTTAGAATTAATAATTTATTTAATGTATATGATATTGAAGAACAAATTAATAGAGTATAAATATTTTATTCGTACTTTTTTTTTATAAATAAATAGATGAAATCAACGTAGTATTAACGTAATTTTATAATATTAAAATTTTTAATTGCCCATGTGATTAGTTTAATTAGTTACTAATTTAATGGGCTAACTACAGGATTATAAATAAATTAATTTAGGTGTAATTAATATAGTTTTGACTTGTAAATAAATAAATTAATTACAAGAAATTTATAATATACATAAGTGCAATCATTGTAGTTAATCATTCAATTAAGTGTAATTAATCAGTTAAGACTTCAAGTAGGTGTAATTAATGTAGTTAAAACTGGTAATTAATATAATTATTTGACCTCCTGCTTAGTTAGATTGTTTAGGTCATAATTGAATTGGTAGAATATGGGAGTAAGAAAAAATTAATGCAGGGGTAATTACTGTTGTTTTAAATGTAATTAATTATGCTTAATTAATAGTGCAAATAGGTGTAATCAATGTAGTTAATAATTTAAATAAGTGTAATTAATCTAATTAATTATTTAGATATGTGTAATTATTGTAGTTATTGATTTAACTTGGTGTAATTAATGTAGTTTTAACATGTAATTTTAATTGATAATGAGATTATTAATTTAATGTTATGCTAGATTAGGTGGAACATGTCAAGCGATAACTCCTTGGTAATTCAACTTTATTGGGGAGGCAAAATTATATATGCCGGAGGATCAATGTTTTACGATCCCCCGATGCCGAAAAAGGTTATGTTCCTTAGAGAAAGGGTAGGCTTTAATGAGTTGATAGACAAAGTATACAGCATTATGGGTCTAGACCAGAATCGACATAAGATTAGTTTGATATTTCGAAATTGTGTGCAACATGGTGTGTTTGGTGCGATGCCTTTGGTAGATGATAATGGAGTTGATGGAATGTACTTTTTAAAAGCCAAAAGTGGGCATGCCACTGAGATTTACGTGGAGGTGGAGGAGCTCTTAGGTTTGAGACAATGTGATAATCAGACCTTGCCAATAGCAAGTCCACATAGAGATGTCCAACAGGCTCAAAGAGGACGAAAAAGAGGTAGTGAGCACCGTATAGAGAAGGATTGTCCCAGTAGTAGTCACATGCCAACATTGGAGACTCGTGATTCGAACACTAATGCAGCTACAGTGCTTGATGCTGCAACAAATACTGATATTGAGTTGGTAGATGTGGATGTGGACTCTGAACCAGAACCAGAGGCTGATGATTTTGGTGATAATGACCATGAATGTGATACATCTGGGCAGGCAGGCAACTCAGGCGAAGGGGCTACCACTGATGATCACGCAAGTCCTAGTGTAGCACCACATCTACGTTCTAGAAGCACACTTGAACCAGAACCAGAGGCTGATGATTTTGGTGATAATGACCATGAATATGATACATCTGGTCAAGCAGGCAACTCAGGCGAAGGGGCTACCACTCATGAACACGCAGGTCCTAGTGTAGCACCACATCTACGTTCTAGAAGCACACCACCTCCGCATCCCGGTCCGATTGATCCGAGTGTTTTGTATCTGCAGACGCATCACAGATCCACTGCGGTCTTTCATGGCGCGGGCGACGTCCTTGATGTGAGACGTTGTGATAAAAAGTTTTTTGATATCTTTAGACATTCTGACCCTCGAGTATCTCACTACATTGACATAGCTGGTTTTGGTGGGGTACGTAGGGCGGGTTATCTTCAGGTAAACCATGGCTTGATCACCGCGCTAGTTGAGCGGCTGGAGACAAGAGACACACACATTTCATCTTCCTGTTATGGGTGAGGCGACTGTCACATTGCAGGATGTTGAGGTACTATGGGGCTTGCCCGTGGATGGGTTGCCGGTTACTTTGATCCACGTTAAACGAAGTCCACTTCAGCGCAAACATCTAGTTCAAGAGGTTTTGGGATTTTGGCCAGAGGATAATTGTTTCAGGGAAGGGCGGCTAAAGATGTCATCTATGTATGCACGACTAGGAACACAATTACCGCCAGATGCTCCGGATGAGATGGTTCGCCAGTATGCTCGAATGTGCATTCTAATTTTATTAGGCGGGTTGCTATTTGCAGACTCATGTGGTAATGTTGTTAGCCTTAACTGGCTCGATTATGTGCGTGATTTAGAGGCCATGAGTAAGTATAGTTGGGGGAGTGCAGTACTAGCCTGTTTATACTCACGTATGTGTCATGCATCGCATGTGGGGCAGAATACCACTGGTGGACCATACTTGTTACTACAGGTAAATAATTACATGCTTATTACATAATACATCATTTCGTACTATTGGAATGTGCATAAGAGTGTTCGTAGCTTCATGATTTTATTAATGTAACAGCTATGGGCGTGGGAGCGGATTCCGACAATTCGTCCTGACGTATCTCTTCAACGATTGACTGGTGATTATCCTAGAGGAGGGAGATGGTCAGCCGAGCGTACTGGGGTTGACCCTCCTAGTCAGGACGTATCATATTATCGAGAGCAACTATCTTTGCTACGGATGGATCAAGTATTTTAGCAATTCCACTCAATTAACAATTAGCTATTATAAATTATAAAATTCATAAACTCCTTACTAGTTTACTCTTTTGACAGTTCATCTGGATGCCATACCCTGATGATGTACTAGCATCTCTGCCCGAATATTGCAGACGAGGCGCACGTATATGGTCTATCATCAACCTATTCTCCTCAAAACCATGAGTTCCATTACTGGAGACAAAGGTTAATTAAGCTTAAATAAGCAAATACACATCTTGATGGCATAATGATGCTTTTCATCCAGTCCTGAGAACAAGGCCAACTCAATAGTTCGTCCATGAGAGAGAGAGAGAGAGTACCTGGTTGATCAAATTCTTTCCACAACCTCGCCAAGGAACTTTATTAGGAGACATCAAACTGTGATTGTGCTCTTTCACGAACTTTGTGACTACCCACTTAGCTCCATCTTTAAAAGCAACCCTCAGCATGGCAGGACAACCTTCACGAGTGACAGGCGGTGGAGGAAGAACTCTATCTTTTCTCTGCACATATTTCTTTTCACGAAAACCTTCTTTGGAACAAACAAAATCTTGACCAATAACCATGTTATTGATGCGTGACCGGCGGTTATGATGAATGCGGACAGTAAAGCCTGTCTGCCTGCCATAAGCAACATAAAAATCTCGAGCATCATCCCTTGAATTAAACTCCATGCCTATGTGTGGCTCAATCAAATTCTCAGTTAATGGCATAGCCATAAGCTGTCCAACACATTTATCATCTTCGCCTATACACAATTCCATGCTTGTTGAGAGCTCGTCATCAAGAAAAACATTGCCATTACTGTCAATAGGCAAAAAGCTTTTTCTTTCAACAGAATTAAATACTTGACTTGTTGAGTTATCCATAGCGCGCACAAACCTATAGAATCTGCAAGTCCATCATTGTTGTGCTGCAGCATGAGGAAATGACCATCAACAAGTGGCCAAGGAAAAAAGCAAAAGTATAACATAAATTTTCTGAAAATTGGTCACAAGATGCTTGAAAATCTCTCTGTGGTCCGCTTTTATGATTGAGAAACCTCATTCTATTAATGAGACTGCAAAATTAATAAGATCGAGACATATTTTTGACAAATAAATCAACGTTTCGAGAAAGCAAGGGTTAGACACCAGCTCATAAATTTGTGGGAATTGAGTGAGCAAAGTCCATCCTCTTTGACACCATTTGTATGAATGGAGGCTCATTATCCCCAGTAAATGACACACTGACCATACTCCGTCATTCTTAAGTGAAATCATAAAATGGTGCTTTTCCTGTGGGAGTAACAACAGGGATAAATCAGCGGTGGATGGACTCTATAACACCGACCTACTACTGCCATTCGCCAGACTGGTTTTTTCCCTACATATAAGATCTCCCGTATAAATGCCTCTCTTACAATGCCTAATTTATACAAGGTCGTGTGAATAAGTTCACAGATTCAAGCTTAACAATGGAAGCTTGTGGACAATTGCTTCAATTGAAAGCGGGGTTTTCCCTCCAAAACATCAGAAAAACGAACCCTTCGACCGTATCTGAAGTATCTCCACACTCCATTTTGACCCAACAAAGTGATAATGCTTCTCATTCTTCTCACTACCGACACCTTCTTCATTCATTCGCTCATTCATCATATTAACTAAGCCGTAGAAATTTAAGAATTAAAAACAAAAATAAAAAGCGTATAAAAATTAACGATTAAAGAAACTTAAAAAGAATAAACAGTTGAAGAGTCTTAATTAGTGGATTTTAACTCCGTAATATGAGGTTAATGATTCCAAATTCAGGAGAAGTTAATAAAGTCAGTTAAAAAGAAAGGAAAGAGGAAGAAGAACGTACCGAAAACAGAAACCCTAACTACTTGTGAAAGAAAGCTTGGGTTAAACGTTAGCCGGCTCAATCAGATGAATTGCGGTTGGATTTGATTTGATGTTCCCGCTTGCCAGCCGGCAACTGGAAATATTTGCCGCCTATTTTCGGAAGCTCTGGAAATGGAGAAAAATGAGGAGTGCGCCGTACGGAGAGGTCTATCAGGTCTCAAGGATCTCACCCACACGACGTTGAGATCCCCCGGTCACAACTTCGTGACGGGTTTTTTAAACCACAGTCTCCGGGCTTTTTAATTATTTGCGTCGCGGACCATATCTAATTCCCCACGCACTCCACTCTCCCTCTCTCTCTTTTTTTGTTTTTTTTTTTTAACTTTTCATCTCAATCTACTTTAAAAATTTCGGGAGATTTTGATTTTTCTGTCAATCAATGACACTGAATCGAATCATAAAGTCCGATTTAACATTTCTATAATGCTTGAATTTGATATAAATTTTTTTTTATAGCTTCGAGCCAGTACTATTGTGACCGTTTCTTAGTTGAAAATCAACACTTGCAACAAAACTACCAATTGCCTCTCAAGACAACATTCTAAATTTACAAACTTTACTACTACTAGCATATGCTCCCCCAAAAAAAAAAAACAAAATGCGCTTTCTGGTGGAAGAGGCCTCCAGTCTGTTCTTAGATCATCTTCTTCCTGACTTCACAAGATGGCACATTTTATTTAAATAAAAAAAAAAAGGGGGGGGGGGCCATGTAAGGTGCAAACAACAGTTTGGTATCCGGTGTTGGAAATATGATGCCGCATTCAACAGAGGAAGGTTACATAATTTCACCCACCTATAGCATCAAATGAGTATTGAGCCAGCGAATCCCAATCTGATCATTTCGCACAAACAGAAATCGACTTCAGTTTGTTTCTCCAATCTACATTTCTATTACACCAGCCCACAAGCCAGGTCCTTATTCCCAACTCATGCAAAAGAAGCCTCTGACCAGGCTTTCTCCCTCCTTCCTCTTGTACAAATAGGGGAAGGATGCACCCCACATTGCTGAATAGCTTGGCTGTTCTGCCATTCATTTACAGTAACTCTGCCCATATACATTTGATACTGCTTAATGCCCTAATATCCACACCCAACAGCCGCATTTCTTTTCCCAGAAGTAGTATGCTGCAATACATGAAAGAAATAATTTAGCACTCCAGAGAAGAGAAGATGCCATAAAAACAAATTTTCAATTGATATCTCCTCATTATACTACTATTATCTAAACAGTCAATTTTCACTCAGCCAACTACACTTGAAAAATCAAAAGAACCAACTTTAATCTAACATAAAGAAGAGCTCTCTAAAAAAAGTAGTAAATTACGTATCTACTGAAGATGCGCTTGTTGCAGGTTTGATTGTTGTTTAGCTTCTGCCTCCATTTCCATGACATTCTTAACAGCAGCTTCAATCTTGGTTGACAGAAGCCCAGTTTCCTCCTCTACACTTTGCAAGAATGTGATTATCTGTTCATGATAAAGATTACACAGTTTGTCCTGGCGCTCCAACTCCAGTGTCAGTTCCTGTATTTTCCTGTCCTTGTGATCCTACAAACAGAACCACCAAGCAGCTAACTATGAAATGCAACATTTGAAACTCTACAAGGAACTACAATAAGAAAGGCTGATGATCTTAATATTTACAAAATATAACAGGAAGTTTAATCCAAATGAACCAGTTTAAGTAGAAAACATTCTAGAACTCCACAGGTAATGTTGTTTCTTTGAATGAATGATGCAACTTTCTCATCTCCTTGCATAATTTAGTCCTATGACAAAAATATAGTCTACGATGACTAAAACCCAAGAGAACCAGTTACATGCCTAATCCTATTCAGGATTGCAACTAAGTCGATGCCTGTGAGATGTCTCATCATTAAAGAAGTCAAACAGATGCCAGAGCTTCAGCACAGCATCTCTGTCAACTAAACACTGGAATAAATAAGTTGGGAAAGTGACAATTGCTACCTTTCTCTGAGACAAGAACTCACCATGGCAGTACGACAAGTTCGACTAGAAGCAACCAATGGATGAGTGTGGTCCTTCACAAATCTGGTTACCACCCACTTACCAGACTTATTAACCTTTACCAACATCATTGCCTTGCAACCTTCTCTAGTGCTGGAGCGTGGCTTCCGAACTGGACCATATTGGTCCTTCATTTTGACATAGTAACCCTGTTTATTACATGAAAGCCGCCGGGAAAGAATCCTCTTGTCAACCTCTGAACGCCGGCACTGATCAATACGCATGACAAACCCTAGATGCCTTGCATAATCATCGTAAAACTCCTTTGCAGCATCTTCAGAATCAAACTCCATCCCTACATATGGTTCTTGAACTGAGATCTCTTCGCTTGCACCAGGCTGCCTTTCTGCGGAACTGTTCACTGAAGCAGCTGCAGCATCCAAGCCTGCCAGCAGGAAAATCAGTTTAATTACTGGGTAATTGGTAAATCAAACGTACAGCTTAAACAATAGCTTCCACCATTAATCCAAAACTCAACCCCCCCTTCTCAGGCCTCCACCAGTTGGGCAGTATGGCTGGAAGTTGTTCATTGTCCCAGCTATTCACATTATGCTGTGTTTCAAGTTCGATCACATCATCCCACTTCAACCCAAATAAAAGTAGCGGGGGTGGGGGAATTGAATAACAACATGTAATAGTAAAACATCGACGCAAGACATCCCCGAACACAAGGCATAGAAATCCAATTGTTGTAATCAGATAGTTACATAAACGCATTTTTTTATCATATCTGAGCTCAGAAACTGTGAGCGTATAAAATTTTGAATTCTATGCAGATTCGGGTTTAAATACTACACAGCATTACAAACCCAATTGTATTTTCGTCTTAAACAGTAGTACAGTGCATTTTTGTACGAAAAGCAGTGGCTAGATTGACAATTAAATTCTCCAAGATTAAAACAATTAATTGGGGTGAAGTATACAAAAGTTGCAAGCTCAAATTTCAAAATTAACAAGGGGAAAAAAATAGAGAGAAGAAACTGTTAGGGTGGGTGGTGAGCAGAAGGAAGAATGCAAGAAACTTACTGGTTTGGGGTTGGGCGGCGTCAGGCAGCCCCCCAAGCCAAGGCCGCCTATCTGCGCTGGCAGTTGCCAGGTTATCTATCGGTGTAAAGACGGTTACCAATCAATACTAGCGCTGATCTCTCCGGCTTTAATGTCCGACTAAACGGGCAACCGCCAGAAATGGTTTTATCTGTCAGTCGCCGTTGAAGTTTTTGCCTTTAGACTTTGATAAACCTTTCGCGTCAAATCTTGTAGTGACTGTACCTTTTACTCGCGCCCGAAATTACCGTGCTTGTTTCTATGGCCTTGAAGTTACTAGTATTGAGTAGCAATTTGGTTTTTTTTTTTTTTTTTGGTGAAAAATATTTGTTGTCATTTACCCAAAGTTGGAGGAATTCCAAGTCTTTTTCCTTCTTTGGAATTTTTCTAGAATTTTTTCAACTTACTATTCCAGTATTTTATAACTCGACTTCCTCTGCATTGTGAGGATTTTAATCTGCATAGGGAACCCTGAAAAAGAAATCACTCCGTTCTTTATTTTTATTTTTCTTGGAGCTAATACAGCTTTGCCAATTTATTTTGTCAAAGTGACTTCTATTTTTAAATTTTGTATACGGATAAGAAAGCAATTAAACTGAGAAGAAGCCTGCAAGTGCGAAGTCTACATATTCGGAACCAATATTTGCATTAAATGCAGATTTAAGAGCATGGACAACAATCATCTTGTCCGACAGGAATACTGCATCCCAGCTGCGCAGGCAGAGAACAGGCGATTCCAAGTGCTGTTATAACTTTGCTACTAGCATCCACATTCACAATCCTTCACTCTTTTTTTCTCGGATCAAAAGAGAAGCTTAGAGAAAGACAGGTTGCATGCACTACTAGCATTCAATAAGAACAAGTGCAAATCATATCTAGGACATGACGGAATTTACCAAAGTAGATCTACAAAAGGAAGAAAAAGATAACAGGCAACTTGTGTTTGTTGGCCTCACCACAGGAAATCCTGTACAAAGCTAGTATCATCTTTTAAGCTGATCAGATAGCATAGGAACAGAATCAAAAGACATCGAAACAATACTGAAACTATCAATGGCATGATGATTTCTGTATCTCAGCTTCAATCTTCTTCACATTTTCGATAACACCATTAATTTTTGAAGACAGGTGCTCACCTTGCTCCTCAACACTGGCCAAAAAGTTGAGTAACTTGTTTCTGTATGCTGTACAGAGCTGGTCTTGACGCTGCAACTCCAGAGTAAGCTGCTCAATCTTCTTATCCTTGTCAACCTAGACATACATAAGACGCACAAATACTTTTTTAACTTTACATTTGCAAGCATGGATTTCATGTGAAGCACAAAAAAGAAATGAATTTGAAACTCTATCCTCTGGATATATTCCGTGGACTAAGGTCACTGGTAAAAGTCACTACATAGAATCCCTTACTTCTAAAATCCTAATCATATTCTCGTATTTTTTCATGGACAAAACAGCTTGCTAAGCATTTGTTTATTATCAAAAGCTATACAGTGATCAAAAGTAAAACCAAATGGAGGTAACATGGTGACAAATATACGATTCATGTTGATGCTGCAGATACATAAGATCATCATTGGGCTCGAAGAAAGAATAACTTCCAGAGAAACAAATCCCATGTGGTACTTCATATTTGCTTTGCAGGGAACAATTCAAGTTTCTTCAAGAAAAAATTATGCCTCACATCAGAAGTCCTTATGGGCCTCCAAAGGTAAGAGTTTTATCACCAAACTTAATCTAATGCCTATAAAACTTGGGCATAAGCAGTAGCTTGTAGCAAACACAGAGACGCAGGAATTATGCAAATTTGTTAAAATCAGCAAAAGCTCCAGAATCTTTCAAAACTGAAAAACAAAAATGGATAAAGGCAAAAAATACATCAGGTATTCTATCCTTCCTAGGACCAAGAACCCATAAAGGCAAGCAATATATCACAAATGGAGTAAAAAAGAGAATAAGAAACAATATGTTACATTTGGAAGAAATCTCACTCCATTACTAACTCCGCGAGCACTGATGATGAGTGGATGGTTATGATCCTTCACAAATCTTGTCACAACCCATTTTCCTGACTTCTCCATCTTAACCAGAATAGTAGCCTTGCAACCTTCACGTGCACTACACCTAGGCCTTTTACCTGATGCGACTGAACCTTGGTTATTAGGAGAAAACCCCTGCTTATTACATCCAAGACGACGAGCAAGAGTTCTACCATCAGTTTCTGAGCGACGGCGCTGCATAATACGCACGACAAACCCCACCTTCCTGGCATAGTCAATGTAAAATTTCCTGGCAGCATCTTCTGATTCAAATTCCATACCTACATAAGGTTCAAGAACTTCACTATCTTTTAACTGACCTGTGTTGCCATCAACATCCATGACATCATTTGCATCCAACTCTTCAGCATTTCCTTCGCCTACAACATCTTCCCCTTCTTTCCCTTCACTGTTGTTCTCTTCCTCCCTGTTCCTATCTTCCTTGTCCAAATCCACTGGATATGAAATAGACCACCAAAAATCAATAAATTAACAATATGATACTAAGAGAGCATACAATGTCAACCAGGTTTTGTGTTGTCACCCACACATTCTGCTAGGTTCTTTGTACTCCACATTAAGGTTACATCGAGTTGCTAGGTTTCCTTCCTCATTTGTTATTGGTCAAACCAGTACACATGGTAAGAAAGGGATAACAAAAGCACTTGTCATTCTATATAGGAACAAGTCTATCAAGCACAAATGCGGAAGACAAACACTGGAAAGTATACTGATATTCCTGAAAGTTAGTACGAATCTAGTCCGAAACCATAAAAGCCAAACAGCTGCAGCTCATTACCCCATTGTTATGGATGCATCAAAGTTATCTAGTTTTTAAAGTCTGTGGGAGTACAGCTACAATCAATAAGTTATAGTGAAAAGGCAACACAATTGAGATGGCTTTACAAAATATGTAAAGCGAGATGGAGAAAAGGGGCAAAAAATATGATGGTCTCTATCGACAAATTGCAGCATATAAATTATCCTTTCTCCATGCGAAAAGTTACAAAATAAGGGAAAAACAAATTTCGATAGAGAATCAAATATAGCCAGGTTGTTAAGAAGATCTTTTTTCCACGTTTCATATTGATTCTCACCTTTTCCATTCTACTTCTCATTCAGGTGCTTCAATTTTTCCCCTCCCGAACTAGAAGTTCAAAATGAAGAAGAAAATAATTCCCGGAATAAAAAATGCATTGCTAGGAATTCCACAAAACTCTAAGTCTTTACCATTGGCAAACTACACCATCCAAGCCCAATTGTTCGAACCCTCGTCTCTCTTCTTGGGTTGAAAAATCTCTCTCTCTCTCTCTCTCTCTCTGACTCTAAAAACTGAAAAGAATAGGCTGTGATCATACTAATACCTGATTCAATCCCTAAACCTAAGATGCCTATCTAATATTTTATCAGAAGAGAAATTGAAAACTCAAAAAAAAAAAAAAAAGATACTCTTTTGTGGGATAAATCAACTCAATAAGTAAGGGACACAGTCATGAAAGCAGTAAAACGTACTATCAACGTATATAAATAGGATTAAATAACAGCGCAAAACAAGAAAAAAAGGAGTCTACCATAAGCTATGAGTTCCGCAGGGGACATGACATCTCCACAGAATTAAGGAAAAAAGAGGTACTAGCAGTACTTACTAAGGAATCCTTCAGAAAAGAAGAATTTTTTATTTGGAGGGATTGGGAGCAAAGGGAACGGGAAGCCAGTCCAATGTTCCAAAATCACAAATAATTATGAAGGGCCCTTCGGCGCCTGCTGCCAATCGCCCAGTCGGGCCAGAGCTCCTTTCATGCTGGGTGATGGGTCCGAAATTGGAGTTGGCTACTAACAGTTGATGATATTCTGTAGGTTGGTTGCACGTCCGTGGGCCGCGAGTGGATCTTGACCTCATTATCAGCCTTTCGTTTTCCTTTTTCGGTATTCAATCCTCAAATTCAGTGAGTCATGGATTTTTTTGCTTTTTTTTTCCCTCTTCCTTTTCCGTTTTCATTCTCTTTTCACTCTAAAAAAATAATCTTGCAATTTTTAAACAGACGTGGACTTTGTCAGGAGGGTTCTCTGTTATTTATTTTTTCCCTCTAATATTCATCATTTGTACCGAAAAAAAAAATAGTTCGTTTTGATTGATATAAATAAATTACAATTTATGCACAAAATGTTTAGTGCCTTGCTGACAGGTTTTCTTCTGGAGCATGGCACTCTTTAGTGCAAATAGTTTTGACCCTATACTGGTGGTTTTGGTAGATTTTTCGAAAGTGTTAGCAAAAAATCGACTTCTCCCTCATCTGAAACCAAAGCGGATATTTCTTCTCTCATCAAAATTACGTTAACTCACACTTTGCCAGGCCCCAAATCTCATCAGCTTTCCAATTATACTGCGTACTTACCGCAGAATTTGAAGGGGTGTTTGCTAGACTGACCAGCATCTTTTTAATCTGCTTTGGCAGATTAGCAGCATAATGGGTATCAAATTTCTCATAACTTCGTAGTAATGTGTTCCCCTGAATGCTCTGAGAGGGAAAAAGGGGGCTAATTTCTTAGATTATATGTTAAAAAAAAAATAATCCACCAAATGTACCTCTGTAGTGTTTCTCATTCTATAGCGGCCGTGCTGATTGGGCACGTCCACATAATTAAAAATTCCAACAAAAACTTGTCTGCAAAAAAGTCAGGAGAGCAGCAGGTGTCAGCGCGGACGTGCTGATTGGGCACGTCCGCGGCTGACTTCAGACTGAGCATGTGTCAGACGCGGACGTGCTGACTGCGCACGTCCGCGGCTGACCAAATTACATCCGGAGAGTGCTCGGGCATTGCCTTTTCTCTTTTTCTGGGCAACGTGGCTTGGGAAAATTCCTTTATCAGGCCTTCTTTTTTTTTTTTCTCTCTTTGACTTCCATTTTCTGCTGCTCGAGAGCAGTTTGGCATTTTGCAAAAGGGAAATTAAACGAGTGTTTTAGTGGGAGGGAAGTAAAAAAAAAGTGTTTTTTTTTAAATAAGTAAGATGGTTTTTTGTGACCATAATTGTGAGATTAATATATTAAACTGCAATTAACTCCACATTCAGTGGGTAAATGACAAATTTAGCATGAATAAGATGTTTCAACTAATATTCACTGAAACTCTTTGGAAAAGTTCATTGAATGTATACCTTGTATTGTGCCGGGAATCTTGTAATTAGTGTTTGGAGGAGGTTTTGTTAGTAATGACAAGGGACTTGGCCGTTGCATCAGCCTTTTTTTTTTTTTTTTTTTTGGGTTGTAGATTACAAACAATGGACGCAAGTCTCCCACAATGACAAGTGGTAAAACACCTAAGACATTAGCAAAAGTAAGGGAACGGTTTTTTTGTTTGGTTTGGTTTTTGTTTCTTGGTGAAAGATAAGCACGGACTTAATTGCGGCAATGCCCAAGCCACGTTGCCCAGAAAAAGAGAAAAGGCAATGCAAGCACTCTCCGGATGTAATTTGGTCAGCCGCGGACGTGCGCAGTCAGCACGTCCGCGTCTGACACATGCTCAGTTTGAAGTCAGCCGCGGACGTGCCCAATCAACACGTCTGCGCTGACACCTGTTGCTCCCTGAATTTTTTGCAGACAAGTTTTTGTTGGAATTTTTAATTATGCGGACGTGTCCAGTCAGCACGACCGCTATAGAATGAGAAACACTCCCTGTCAGAGGTATATTTGGCAGATTGGTTTTTTTTTAACATATAATCTAAGAAATTAGCCGAGGGGGGACATGAGCTATTCTTCTTCTTCAAACAGAGTCGAAGACTACCTATAGATTATGATCTTGAATTCCCTGTTCCTAAATTTGCAACATATTCTGATTGAAAATATGCAAATTAGAATGTGTTTGAAATTCTATTTGTACTAGGGTATGGACAATCCAAAAATTGACACATTTTTTCATTTAAATCTAGGAAATGTTAATTACACTCTACTTTTTGTTAATCGCGCTCTTATCAGTTGTACTGCCATATATTCTAATATATGAAAATTATATGATAAAAATAATAGTGCGAGTGCGATTAACAACCAAAGGGAGGGCAGGCGCGGTGAAATTAACATTTCCCTTTAAATCTTGAATAATTTCACCAGCTAATGTGATTTCCGATAGGATGTTGCAATTGCATTACACTTTGGCGTGCACGGTGGTGCGCTAACTTTCTGACTGACTATTGTTTGCCCCTGATTTAACAAGTGTTTGTAATCTCCTCGTTTTGCAATCAATTTTCAGGATGACAGAGACGTTGAAGATTCTGGAATTGACAGCTGAATTGCACGAGAGAAAGGAAAAGATCCCGCAGCTATTCAACAACAGCTAGATACGGTTTTGAAGGACATGGAAGAGTATTCAGAACATCTTTCTGTCCAGAAACATCGATGAGGGTCAACTTGCCCCCAGCAGATGACCATCATATACGTATTTCCTTTATCTCGATGCCTCTCCCCTCTCTTTTAATTTGCAACAATTTCCTTAGCGTGGTTGATTTTTCAAAGTTTTGGGATCCTTAATTAGGGGTGGGCACGGGTCGGGTACCCGTCCCTAACATGATTTGGTTGACCCGACCCTAATATATCGGATCAGCCATCCCTAAAAAAAATTATTTTCAATAAAAAAAATTATTTTCTACTTAATATCAACATGTTTTTCAATAAAAAAACATGCTTTTCCAATTAATATTGGTAGAGATATTGTAATTAAAGTCCATACATCACCATTTTTACACATTTCATCCAATAATCAAATCGATCTCATAAATTTAGTACATATTAGAATATCTAATGGACAAAACGAAGTTTCATAATAATTTTGAGTACATCACTATTTTCACACATTTCATACTTCTACAACACAATAAACACAAGGATAATAAGTATTTGGTAACTTCCCCAAGGATATTATGGTACAAGACCGCATCTCAAATAAGTCAATTGTGAAATCAAGTTCGGAAAAGAATTGAATAGAACTAATTATTTTTGAAAAAAATATAACCAAAATAATGTTAAAAATCTTCCCCAACTTCTTTACATCTTTGGAATAGACCTTATGGTATTAAGGTGATGAAAAAGAAAAATAAATTTCTTACACTAAATAAAAGAGACAAATTTAAGAGATATAATTGCAAATGAATGACACAAATATTTTAATTATCTAGCTAACAGAAATTTGAGACTCCAAACAAAAATCTTTGATTGAATTGATGCAAGATTTGCAGGAAAGATCGATGGAAGTAGAATAAAAATAAAAAAGATGAAAGGGATGAACAATTTTTATAACAGAGTTTCACAATTTTTTTTTTCATTTTGTTCATGCTTCACCGAGAATATTCACTTTCTTCAAAAAAATGAGAAGAGTAGATCATATAGGATTAGAATATGAGGCTGCGAGCCACTTCACTTGCACTTAGGATTAAAAATTACAAAATTATAAAATGATCCCTACTTTTTTAATATTTATAAAATATACCCTGCGGGTCGGGTACCCGCGGGTTTTTATTTTTCTGATCCGTATCCGTACCCGATTTTTCGGGTACCCGACTCTCATCTGCCCCGCTAAGAAACATCGGATCGGGTATCCTATTTTTCGGATCGTATCGGATCGGGTTCATCGGGTTTTCGGATCGACGAATTTTTTTGCCCACCCCTACCCTTTATCAAGTTGTAGGTTGATAAAACCGCCAGTTAACCATCTGAAATGTTTGTAATGACAATCTTAGCAATAGTTGCTGATTTGGAACGTGGATCACTTTCTTCATGGTGTGTTTAACAGTAACTGCAGTGCGAATTTGGGTACGGAGAGTTGAGACACCGCCTAGTAGAGGGAATGAGGAATGGATTGGGTGGTATCGAATCGGGGCGTAAATCTCTCATTTACACTCTCTTTTGATACCAAATTCGAGATCCTCCCGTTTACTTGAAAAAAAAATGCAAAAGATTTCATACCAAATATAGTATACTAGCTCGTAGATTTCATTATCAGTAGCTGACAAGTCATTACTAAATGCTAAGGAATAAAGATAGGGTTAATTAAGAATAATTTATCCATAAAAGTCTTCTAGAAAGCAATTTTCATTTAAAGCTCGGTTTAGAATTGGTGGTTGGTAGGTGTAGGGTTAATTAAGAATAATTTATCCATAAAAGTATTCTAGAAAGCGATTTTCATTTAAAAGCTCGGTTTGGAATTGGTGGTGGGTAGGTTTTATTCTCGTTTTGCTTTTGAATTTCACAAAAAGTTGATTATGAGAAGTGATTATGGAGAACAATCAGAATTAACAAAAGTCACTCTTTAATAGATTTTGAATTTTAGCTTTTTGATTATTAAAAAATCTATAATTTAAAGACAAAAAATAAATAAGAATATCAATAAAAATTAATTATTCAAAATTAGAATCAATTAAAATAATAACCAGACCTATAATTATTCGGAGGATCAATAAGTTACACGCATCACCATCTATCAGTATCAAAAACTAATCAATAAAGAAAGAGACGTTCTACTTGAAAAAATTTGTCCATAATTTTTAGAACTGCCCGTCTCTCCTACGAGTAATTGGTAACATTTTTACCAATAATTGGTCGTTGGATTAGTCAATGACCAGTAAAAAAAAAAAAAAAAAAGGAAAAGCAAAAAGAAGATAACAAGAGATGTCAAGTGCTACACTGATATTATTCATTTTCCAAAATCAGTAGTGGCGCTTTTGTCTTGTTCTTGACATTTTCGGTGCACGTTTGAATGTAAAGATCCTTAAAGCGCACATGGATGGGCGGGATCTGCATGTCATTGGCTGGATCACCTATTCTGACTCCTAAACTTTTACTAGTCACCACTGCTACGTACTAGTGACACTGTAGACTGTGGACCATTTGTAACTCCTACCCAATTTCGATAGGACTAGGAGGTATAATCCGCGCGGTGCGCGGAGGTATAGAAAAAGAGAAGATGCCCAAGACAAACATATGATATGGAAGGAAAATATCGGAGGAGGATATAAAGCAAAAGGCAGAAAAAAGGATGAAAGGCGTATTAACTTGCTAAATTGATCATTTTCTACATCGGAAATATCAAGGCATGATAAGCCAAATCTATAATAATAAAGCATCGAATTTGCCACTACTCATATTAGACTTTGTTAGAGCTACTAATGACCGACAAAGTTGCAGCAAATCACTAACATCTCACGGCAGCCTTTAATTCATAAAGAAGGAGCTATAAATATTTGATACAAGGTAGTCTCCTTACTCCTTTGTAGATGGGCCTCTATATCTTTTTACTGGACGGTGCAATGATGTACTTTCCTCTTATTTTCTGTTGATTCTTGTCCACACATTTTTTTGGTATTTCCATGCAGATGAAGCCAAAAACACATTACCAAGGAATATTTAGACAAAAAGTTTGGCTCCTTTGGTGTTTGCAAATCATATTCATCCCAAAGGAACTGCAATGACTAATTATTAGTTAAAAAGATAGAGAGGACATCAAAGTAACCAAAGAAACTTTTCAAACATTCACTACTAAAGCTTGATGAGTGCAGCAAGTAGGTTAACATCAATTTTGTGGCTAAACACCCATTAGCAAAGCCTGAATTGCTAAACAAATGCAATAACTTGTTGAACATTAAACTTCTAGTGCTTTGAATGGAGAAAAACGAGTAAAAGCAAACCAAGTTGTTTTGTCTTGTTTCATTTCTTGGTTTAATGAAGTGCAGAATAAAAAAAGTAAATGAACAAAAAAACACAGTACAAAATCTGCTATGTGGAGCAACATGAGACCCATATTACAAGACTTGTCAATTTCACAAAGTTGAAACCTCTTGAATTCAACGGGAACATAGACAAAGATAACAAGAAACCCTTTCATTCAAAGGAATCTAGGCTCTAAATTCTTCAATTTATCCATGTCTTCTCTAAAACCTGACGCAGCATGCTCTTGCAAATACACATAATGCTTAAAACTATCATTTTTCCCTTCATTTGCCGAAGAATAGGGCAAAAGAAACAGGGCTCAACACTTCCAAGCAGTTTTTTTAACAAAGGAAAAACTGTAATGCAACCTCCCCAGCCAAAGTCAACTATGGACAGTTCATTTATATGGCTATAGTTCATTTATTGCAAAAAACAGCCAAGAATTTGGCAGTTACAAATAATCATCCACAAAACAAATTGTCATAGAACGGAAAAGCATCATGTTCCATAAATAATTAGATACATATACAAAACGTAAGCCATGTACAAACTGAAATGGCAATTGAGCCATATCAATTAGCAACCTAGCTACTACAAAAGTTTCTGCAGTTAAGTTCTTTAACAATGATAGATACATATTAGACATTAACTAAAAACGTCTAATAAAATTGTTATCTAGAAAAAGGCTAAAAAAAAAATAAAAGATTACAATAATCAATTTAACATTGAGCTGCATTCCTAATCAGAAAACATGAATGTGTCACACAGGCAGGACAACAGATTCTTTCCTCTTAGCCGCCCAGCGACACGATCACTCAATTCAACGTTCTGTAGCAAAACTCAAAAGCATAGTCATAAACTGCATAAGTATGAACAAACAATACATTGCTAGTCTGCACACACTACTTATTCACAGTCAAAATCCAAACCCTTAGCTGTCTTACAATAATCAATTTAACAGTAAGCCGCATCCCTAATCAAACCAGATGAATGCCTAACACAAGATCACTTAGTCTAACATTTTACAGCGATAAAAACAGAGACATAAACATAACTACATAAGTATAAATAATCAAACAAAATACAAAATACAAAAACAATCCTAATATACCTCATGTTTAACTTCATAAACATGAAAACCAGCCAAGCTAATCAATCGCCCGGCTTAGCTGCAAAAAGCCAGAACATTCACAAAGCCTAAATCAGGAAAAATCTCTTTTAGAGAAGAAAATAACTGTTAGTCTGCCTAAAAAGGATTAGTCCCACAATACAAACCATAAAAACCATTAACTCATTTCATTTTTTCGTAATCCAAATTCTATTCCTTCAATAAAAGAAGAGATACACACAGAATTTGAGGTTTACACAAAATCAACAGACAACAAGCACAAAATTTCCTTCACACATCACAATCTCAAACACCAAAAGCAACTCAAAGCAATGACAAAATTTAACCGATTACAATAGTCACAAGTACAAAATTTCTGATGGAATCCACTCATTAACTGCAAATGGCTGATCCTTCAAGCCTCAGAACCACTAAGCACCAAAGCAAAACATAACAAAAAAAAAAGAAAAAGACAGCCTCACATGCACAGAAATGAGAAGAGATGAGGAAACCAAGCAAAAAATGCAAAATCACCCAATTAAAGAATCTCCCCGGGGAAAAAATACAACCAACAAGTCTAGATCAAAGCAACAATTCAAATATTAAGCACATAATAAAAATCCCCTCTGAGCATAACTCATTCCTGGAAAAATGTCAAGACAATTAATCAACATACAATTTTTGGTACAGAAGGCTCGAAAATTTCACAAATCTTGAGGGAAAATATGTCCACCATGGGAGAATACCAAGAAAATTAATGGTGACTAAGTTTTACCTTTTAACTTTAGCTGCCAGATTTTCGCTAAAGCTAAACACTCAATGGAATTGCTATCAAATATACTGAAATTCTTAACAAAATAGCAGTTTGATGTCTAAACTCCCTTTTTCAGGTTTTAATCTAACTAATGAAGTTAGTGAAGTTGCTCAAATCATATGCCAAAATCATGAATATCCACAAACTTAGTATCCAAACATTTCTTGATTAAAACAACTAACCAGTAAACCACAAATCCATTGTCAAAGGCTGAAAAATTAGGAACAAGCTCTCTTATTTATTACAATAGAAACCATGGCATAAAGCAATACAAAAGATATTTTTTAGCATAAAGCACCGAAAAAGGATCCGTGGTTAAGTTTGTCAATAGAAACCAAACTTTTTTATTTTATTTTGTCATTCTCCTACAGACAACTTGTTAAGTTTATTCAGGCCTTTAGTTTCATTAAGGCCCATAAAAATTACACATAATACATTGACAGGTAACCATATCACCATACACGTAGACCAGATAGTATTAACCACAAATCCTAACTTCATGGTATCTAAGATTTGACAGTACCCTTTTTCATTTTGGGGCAGGAAGATGATAGATGATAGATGAAAGGTTGTGTCTTACTGTACCCTTATGTTTAGAGTCCATCAATTCTTAGTGTAATACGTAATAAGAAAACGTAGTACGAAGAATGAAGAATGCAGTACGAAGGTAAAGGAACTGACCACATGAGACATGGAGTAATTGGTTAGATGGCATGTTTGAACATGGACCGCTAAAAGCTTTCTCGCATCCAAAATCTTGTTCGTCGATATTCCCTGCAGTAAAATGTCCTCCAATTGGTGCACTTTGGTGGTGTTAACAGAATTGGCAGAAGGCTAGAACATGAACTTACCTGTAAGTGTCACTTGTGAATCCTCAGGTATATCTACTATTATTTCTATACCTGTAGGCATTACTGCAAGAACGGCCAAAACAGTTGTAATTAATCAAGACTGAACTAACTAATTGGAAGACCAAAAAAGTGCAAAAAACTGAGGCTTGTTTAACACACACACACATCTAAAGTGCTTTCGACCAACAACATGACAATAGGTAATAGTGCCACAAAGCAGGAGTAAAAGGGAACTAAACTCGGTGTATAATCAGTGCAATTGAGAAGTTTTGGCTCAAAAAATGTTTTGTACTTGATGCAATTGTTATGATAATATGAATACTATTCTGTCATCATGGTGTTTGGACTAAAACATGGAAAAGTGACCTTTTACAATGCTAAGAACCAAACAACACAAGAAAATCTCAGAATAGGAACTTGAACTGCTCTTGATTCGTGATGCAGCAATAGAAAAATGAAACAGAATTATTCCCGATGCCACAGAAAAGCTTACCCACAACATCTTCTCAATTGAAGGTGAGCAGAGAAAATGACAAGCTCTTGCTTTCTCCTCATTTATACATTGCTCAACCTAACGCACAGCTCAGCACCCAGAAAAGAAAACAAAATAAAAGGAAGTCAATAAAGAATGACAAATATAGCAAAACTGAAAGACAGAGACAAATAGAATTTGCAAGAAAAACAAGAACAAAAAAATTACCTGACGGAAGAAACTCCTATCAGACCTCGCACGTAAAAGGATCTGCAGAAAAGAGGAGCTTGTTAAAAAAAAATAAAAAAAAATAAAAAGAAGAGGGAAATGGAGGAAATATTGAAATACCAATCTAAAGCATATATCTTCAAGTGCTAGTACCCAACATCCAATTCTTGCATCAATAAAGTGGAAATCTTTGAAACCCCACCTCACGGGCTCATCCAAGCTACAGAAATAAAAAATCTAAAAATTAAAAAGAATAACATAATCCTCATAAACAACAAAATAGTAGTAGCAATCAGAAAAGGGAAAAAAGCAACAAAAAAAAAAGATCCGACAAGAACAGATAGTGTACTCGTTGTCTATTTTCAAAAAAAAAATGCAAGATCTGACAAGAAGAGACGGTAAGATCTGACGAGAACAAGAATGCACGAAAAAAAATGTGGAAGAAAATGATGATTAAAGGAACAGAGAGAGAGAAACGAGGACGGTGGAAAGATCTGGAGAAGAGACGGCGGAAGAAAGAAGCGGCCGAGAGATTCTTGTGTTTTATGCGGCAAACCCTAAGCCGAGAAAGAAAATGGACACACGAAGCGCATCGCGCGAAAAAGATGGGATGATCCACGTGCGCGGCACGTGTGAGGACGACGAAAACCATTCCAGGTCATCAGAGGCCTTCGGCTCTTTATCTACTTATGTTGAGAAGAAAATGAAAGAAAATAATAGAGGCTTCCTTCATTGGAGAGTTTGAGGGGGAGAGAAAACTGAAAAGGAAAGAAATAGGCAAATCTTTAAACTAACCTCCAACAACCCCTTTTTTCTTATTTCTTAATAAAATTCCCAACTAGGCCTTAGAACTAAAAGTAGAAAAAAAAAACGAAAGAAAAATAGATTGGCAAATGCGTCAATTGTTCAACTAGTATTAGTGTCTGTTTGATAACATAAAAAAGTGTTGAAATTGAATTCATTCAGACATTCAGATGTCTTGGGTGTTTGATAAATAAAAATTTTTCTGCTGAACTTATTAAGTGGTGCTAAATTTGTATGTATTTTTTTCAACACAAGAATCGCAACTGAATGCTTAATTTGATAAGAATCAAAAGATTTATTTCAATTACTTTATCTTATCTACCAAATCTATCCTTGTTTGTTAATTACATTCAAAATCATTATCTAATTAAACAATCTAATATTTTCCATCCAAAATCCTTATCTATTAAACAACCTGACATTCTTTGTCTAATGGCTTTCTACTTCTATTTTCTCCATATTTAATGACTTTTTTTACAATTTCTCCATGCTACTCACATCTGTCTATTCCTTATTTTTTTCCATCTTTCTACTCTTTCATAATTTTGTCATTTTTTCCTTCCAATTTTTTTTATTGCTACCGTACTCACCGATCTCAAATTCATTATTTCCAAGGTAGCGTTAACATTTTTCCATTGAAGTAATTAAATTTCTATATAATTTGGTGTGAATTTAAAACTTGTTTATTGCAGCTTCCTTTTGCTTATATTTGGACTTTTCTTGTCAAATTCTGATTTAAAAATATATTTGCACCGATATTTGGACTTTTCCATAATATATTTTTTCTTTTATATTACTTTGATTTAAAAATAAATATTGTCATTTTCATACCTAACAATTTTAAGCTAATTAAAACATAGGTTCTATTTCCTTTTTGGATTAAAAGATAGAAGGACAAAATTGTACAATTTAGCTTATTAAGCATTAAGTTATAAATATTTATCAAATAGTATAAATATGTTCAGCATTAAGATTCAGATATTCATATATCTCTTTTCAGTGCTTAATATTTAGCAAATTAATTGTTTCAGTATTCAGAATTCAGATTCAGTTTTATCAAATGGAGCCTTAGTCTATTAGATTAAACCTTTATCCATTCTATTCCGCCACGAATCTCCCTAACCACATCAGAGAAAAAGTATAGGCTTCGTTTGAATTTTTCATTTTTTTAAAAAACAAGTTTTTTATTTACAATAATACAGTTATATACAAAAAAAAATTATTCGAAAAATATCACATTCATACAATATATTAAAAGTAATTCTAAATATATAAAAAAATTAAAAAATTAAAATTTACACTATTTTCTTCTTCCCATCTATCACCACCATCGACTATCACTACTATCACCATCCTCTCTTTCCTCCTCCTCCCTTTCTATTCTCGCCCCCTCTTTCTCCTTCCTCTCTTTCCTCTTCCCCTACCTTTTCTCTCCCTTTCCCATCACATCCACTATTTTCCTTCCCAATCTAGCTACGACCAGGTTGCAACCAGATGCCTCGATTTGGTCCAAACTAAATTAAGGAAGGGGAGGAGATGTGCAGGAAAGGGGAAGGGGAGGACGAAGGAGGAGGGAGAAAAAGAAAGATAGGGAAGAAGAAGAGGGAGGTGGTGGTGGTTACGATGGGTGGGTGGTAGTATTAAACTTTTTTTAAAATATTCTAAAAGTTTTTGAACTTTAAAAATATTTCAAATTACATCTCAAAAACACCTTAAAAATCATCACTAAAAACATTCAAGATAAAAGTTCTTTATATATATTGTTATAATAAAATATTTCAAAACATTCTAAAAAACAACTAATCCAAACTATTTCCTCTTAACTCGGGGTTTTATGACTTGCCCATCTTTTTCTTGTCTTTCCCAACGCCCAATCTATGTGCCTAAGTGTGAAAGGAAGAAAAAGATCTTACAAGCAACAGCCTGTTGCTGGCTGTTATCAATTAATAATAATTATCCACAGTAGCGGAATCAAATACTAACTCTACTAATCGGGGCGAGAGGAAGATGGACTAAATGACACGAAGGAGGGAGTATAATTAAGAGTTTTTGGATTGAATATCTCCCACTTACACTGAAAAGGAAAGGCCGTGATACGGTGAAAGAAGCTGTAGATCTCTCGCTGGAAAAATGAAAAAAACATAAAGTTTGATCCATTCTTAAAAGCGTGAAATATTTTTAGGCTTCCAGCACAAACGCTCCTCTTCTTCTCGTCACTGACCTGTCAACCCTTTCTATTAAATCTCCATATCTCAACCCAATTTCTACTAGACCTGTTAAAACTCAACCCAACCCTCGATATTGCCGTTGCCGAGGCCGACGGTATTCTTTTCTCCCTTTCTTTCTTGCATGTATTTATTGTTAAGACTATGTGCACATATTTAGATGACTGGCGAAGGAACTTCTTGTTTCGCTCAGCTACTGACACTAACTGGTATTAGTCTACTGTTGTGACAATTGCAGATTATTTCTGAAAGCATTTGTTGATTTGGGAAAGTAAAACAGAAGATGGCAAATGTGGGAGAAGTTGAACACCCATATGTTCCAAGGGATTTGAAGTTGCCTGGTTTTGTACCTGCGTTCCTCCCCCCTTCCACTATTGTTGGTGCTTATCTGCTTGCTTCCCTACTCGCTGTGTCCATTGTCTGGATCGGTTCTGGTAATTGATTGTTCTCTCACCAGTCGCCGTTGCTATCTTTTTTAGTAGTATCTCATATATAGTTGTTCTACTTCTTCCATTAGTTGATTGTATTCTTGTCTGCCTTGTATTGCTTGTTATATTCGGGCAGTAAGGAAAATCGGAAGTGAAGATCAGTTAGCAACTTATGATAATCCGAATCTGAAGCATCTAAACGATTCAAAATGAGTACTAAATCCATCTCCCCTTGTATTGGGTTATTCTGTTTTTGTTTTTTTCGTCTGCTTTGTCAAGCATACTTGTTGACTGGTAATTAAAATTGCTGAAGTGACTTAATTTGCTGAAAACATGTGACAAGTTCTTTTCTAGAAGTCAAAGTTCAAAACTTTGATAAGTTGATGCAGTCTTTTACATTCCTTCATATATTTCTTGTTGCTGCAAGCCCACCAGTAGAATTTATGTGAGATCTCTGTAGGTTAGGATGTAGAAATGTGGTCATGTTGATAAGAGGTTGCTTGCCTGGGTAGTCCAACAATGAAAAGTCTTGCTTGTTCCAATCTAATGCAGTTAATCTGTTTGCCACACAATATTTATTTATCTGAGATCCTGAATTATATCATAATTCATATGGTAAATGAATTGTTTTAATCTCTTCGTGGGAGCCTTAAGGTGAATCAATGTAAATTCACTCTCAACAATGTCTTATATATGTTAATTGTGAGCAGGGACACATTGACATAAGTTCACCTACAGCAACAGTATGTGCTCCCTTGCAAAGACTTTTTGGGGTTTGCATAGCTCCCAACTATCCTTGAATGTATTGGACTTCGCCTGAGTGGTCCATAATGTGACTTAGTAAATGAATTACTTGAAATTCATTTGAGATTGGAATTCTGAGATTGAAACCATCATTGAATGTATGGGGTTTGCCTGATTTGTCTATAGTATAACTCAATTATGAATGATTAAGAACTCACTTGAGACTGGAGTTCTGAAACTAAGCAAAATAATCACTAATCCCCTTGTTTTTCACTTGATTCTTTACAGCACGACTTACATCACAGGTCATAAGCCGTTACCCAGATCTTTGCCTTTATTATCTATACCTGTATTGAATAAATTGTGATTGCTTGATTGATGTCTGGATAATAATCAAATACTCTCCTCAAATCTGATTTTTTAAATTGTTATGATTTCATTCAACAAGTAGTTGAACCATTTAATCATCTTTGCCTAATTGCAATTTCCTATACAAGTCAAAGGTTTAGTTATTTATGTACTGTGTTGACCATAGAGTAGGAAATTGTTGGATCACATCCATATTGGGCTTTCTTGTTTTAGGATTCTGCTTATAAGGAGGTTTTTACATCTAACTCCTAGCTATCCTTTGCCAACGTGGAAATTCATTGATCATTGCTTTAATATTTTACCATCCTCAATTAATGGTAGGACGGATCCACAAGATATCAAAGCTTGATAGAATACTCATGTGCTGGTGGATCTTCACGGGGCTAACCCACATGGTCCTTGAAGGTTATTTTGTATTTACTCCAGACTTTTACAAGAAGACAACCCCAGTTTACCTTGCTGAAGTCTGTAAGTTTTTAGCTTAATCTGTTATTCAAATCGGAATCCTTTCTTTGAGATTGTAAGAGAGTAATTGCTTTAAAATGGAAAATGGCAGGGAAGGAGTATAGCAAAGGTGATTCAAGATATGCTGCGCGTGACTCTGGAGTTGTTTCTATTGAAGGAGTTACCGCAGTATTAGAGGGTCCCTTTTGTCTTCTCACCCTGTATGTATGCTTGGGTTCACTTAGTATCATCCAAGAGGATACAATCATTAGTCTATATTTCTAAATTTTTTTATTTTGTGC